ATATGATAAAATAATATTTACCAAACCATTTTATAAAGGAATGCATTTTCATTAGATATCAAAACTCGGGATGTCATGTTCCGATACAGACCAAAAAGCATAAACGACAAATTACAAGCCATACAACAGTTATATACAACTACAGGCTTATAAACAAAATAACTTGATGATTCATCCATCTTATGCCCTCGCGCCACTACCTGTAATACAAATAAACTGAGTGGGTCAGTCTTGGGAGCCTGGTGAGCATATAGGGTTTTCAACCCACAATAAATAATTATATTTAATTTCACCAACCAACAATAACCCGATTACCCATTCCCGTTATCCTCACTTTACGTCCCTAAAACAACATCTATCTTAAGGGACCTAATCTAGGATTTTTCATCGGGACGGACATTACTGCAAGGGGTTTCCTCAACAATAGATGTTTTAAAGGCAACCATGAGGGGGATAGAGTACACCGGTGAACACATCGTTCACAACACCTACAGGTTATGAACCTGCCAGCGTTCCACTGGACTGTCTAGAATGAGTCTGTGGTCGTCATCCATACTCCGCTAGATGACTAGATCAACAACAACATCAAGGCCTCTCATCATTTTATTTCATCACACATCCACTATCTACCCATGTTCTACCCAACATCTTTGTAGATAATATATATATATATATATATATATATATATATTATTATATATATATATATATATATATATATATATATATATATATATATATATATATATTATATATATAAGTTAAAATAAAAATAGTAAATAGTGTGAGAACGTAAAAACACTATGTTTATGTTATTATTCTGTAATGAATGTTGTATTTGTGTATTGTTGAAGTAATTATAGTATGAATATTAACATTTGATTATTCATATATTCATTATAATCTTATTATTCTATTATAAATTTATGTATGTGTATTTTTGTAGTAAATTCTAATTTTAGTTTTAATATGCGATTATTCATTTATTCATTGTTGAATAATGACATAAAGCTGTGGATAGAAAATTCATTGTAGAATAATAATATAAAAATAGTGTTTTTACGTTCTCACATTATTTACTGTTTTTATTTGAGCTATCCCCTATATATATATATATATCTATATATATATATATATATAATATAATATATATATATATATAGATATATATATATATACACAACATAAAACATGTATAAAACATTCAATCAATACTCATTTCAAATAACACATAACATATAAACACACAGCACGTATTTTATAGAGAATACTTCGTATTTATGTGTTGGAAGAAAGTAACTACACACTCACTTGATAAGAAGATGATCGGACAGCACTACGGCTCTAAGAGTAGTATTTCTTCGGTGAAACCGGGAGGTCTTCACAAAAACCGGGTTTCTCGCAGGCAGAGTTTCGACTCGGAAACTTTACTTCTCGGGATCTTCCGAACTTCGGGCTGCATACCGCTAAGTCGAAACTTAGAAAAATCATAATTTCCTCATACGAAGTCAGATTTAGACATTCTCTTTATGTACGCTCTCGATTTAACGTATTCTACGACTTTCGTTTAGATCACTAAGTCTAAATATCGCTCTATCTTAAATTCGTATTGTACGTCATTCGGCGTCGTGTCGGTTCTGTCGCGAAACTTCGACAGGTCATAACTTCTTCGTTATAACTCGGATTTCGGCATTCTTTATATATTTGGAAACCTCGTCACGACCGCTACGTCTTCATGTATCAATATTGGGTTTATCTAACATTTCATTTTCACGCTTATTTTTATTCTTAATTCATTTAAGCCACACAATTAAGCAATTAACCATAAAACACATAATACTCAAATAATACATTCTTATTATTTCAAAATGGGTTGAAAAGGTTAACCTAGACTATTACATCATCATTAATGCCTGGCCCAGAAACACGGGCGTTACATTTTCTAACCTTTTTTTTATCTTTCTAACATGGTGGCCTTTTGGAATTGGAAGTCTATTTTGGACTTATTAGTAGAACTTAAAGTCATACTAATAGTTTATTGTGGAAAAGCCATTATTTACTATGAAAATCAAGATTGCTCTGGTTCAATTGGTTCTCATGTTTAACTTCAAAACCAGAGCAAAAAAAGGGCAAAATTGACCAAATTAAAACATACCCTAAAATTTTGACAACAATAAGCTCTATCATGTCCACCATCTTGAATGAGAGTCCAAAAAATAACCAGGGGCAAAAAAATATAAAGGCAACAACCAAGCAACAAGAACCACTAGGGGTAAAATGGTCAAAATCACAGAAGGAATTCCTAACAGCAACTATCACAGTAAAATCCCCAAGGCAACGAATTATGTCCTAACTAACTTTCTGAAAATATGAAAATCTTAACAAAAAAAAGCCCACTTGTTTCTTGATAGTTGTTCACTAATAATATACATGCAGTTCTAAAAACAACATAAGTACCCTTGTTGGTAATGTTAATTTGGTGAAATCATTGCACAGACCAAGACTCATGGTTGGCTAGGGATAATAGAAAGAAGAAACGATATAAAAAGCTATCAAATAAAATGCATTAAAGGTAATAATTTACCATTTTCCCTATTTGGATGGAGTGTTATGACTTCCTACTACATTCAAACCAACACAACCATATTAATAAATCACCAAAACCATTTTACATTTCAAAAGAAACAATGACAAAACAACATAATCATTTATTTATGCAACCTAAAATAATAAACCAAAGTAATCTCTATATGATATATAAAACACAAATGCATGAGAAATCAAGATGAAATTAACATCGATGGGAAGGTGTTTATGAGTTTAACCATGAATCATGGCCCTCAGTCATCTCTACAACCACAATAACCAAATAATCTCTAGAAATTGTTGCTTACCTTGAATGTGCAATGACATCTTCTAAAAACATTGCAGAAAAACAAAAAACACATAAACTGTGAAAAATTAGGAACCGTAGTTCAAGACTTTTGAACTCCTTTTGCCACCATATAATAGAACACACAAACCAAAGAACTTAAGCAAATATAAAAATAAAAGAAAAAAAGAGATTTTACCAGCTTTTTATGCTTCCAATAGATGGTAGATTTTAGGCTTAGAAAGGGGATCTTCTTTTATCTTTTCCTGCAAGCTCCTTACACTTTAGTAAATTTGCTTTGGCCTTAGATAATGCGAGAGAGAGAGAGAGAGAGAGAGAGAGAGAGAGAGAGAGAGAGAGAGAGCTTATGTAAAAGCTTACTTTAGTAAAGTCGCTTTGTCCTTAGATAGCCCATTTAATTGTATTAACCTTAAAACAATTATAAAATCAAAACTAAATAGTAATTTTGATACCCATATGAAAGTTAACACCCAAACCTCATAATATGAGAACAAAACCCAAATAACATACCCTATAGAAGAAAACAAACTCAAAAACAAATGTTTTTTTTTCATTTCAATGGAATAACCCATTCTGTTCCGCTGAACACTCAAAATAAATAACCCATTGGATTTTTTTTTTTGTGAAATGAAGATAGAGAAGGAACTGATATTCAATGAACTTGCAGATTTCACATTTTTTAGAGGAAAAGATTGAAGCAAGCTGTATAAGACTCGACATAACTTGAAAAAAAACCAAAAACTTCACCATCAATCATAAAGTTTGAAGAACCTACAAAATCTAAAAATCTAATAATAATAGAACTAATACACAAAACAAATAAATACATAACATATAGATTAGAATATGAAATGAAACATAACTTTAGTGAGTAAATGGCTTTTGAATCAACTTTTGCCTTGCTTGATTCTTGTTTGGTCCTGATTCTGTTCAATATCGAGTGTACGGAAAACAGATGATGATGGTCAGGTAATACATAGAAACCATGGGACTCAAAGAAAGGCAAAAACTAATAATAGATAACCGGTGATAACATAAAAATGTACCAAAAAAGGGAATTTGTAAGGATAACGTACCTTGTTGTAATCTAGGAGGGAGGTGATATAAACCCTAATGATCGACATTGTTATGTGAGAGTTGAAGAGAGATGGAACTGCAAATGACAAAATAAAAACATAAGCTTGAATCCATATTGATTTAGGGCTCGATTGTGAGAATAGACCATTTTTTCCATCTTCATCAAATCAGAGGAACCCTGATATGTTTTTCGCTTGGCCTTGTGGTGGGGGTTCAATGATTGATGCTTACTTGAGCCTCACTGTTGCACTGTCATTTGTATGATCCAGCCAATCTAAGATCGAGACCGATAAATCCTTGGGATAAAGAGGAGTATGGTTTGAGATTGAGAGAAAGAATACGGTGGAGGTGGTGAGGGAAGCAGTTAGTTGAAGGCGTTAGATAGTCAATGGTGAATGAGAGAAGGGGAGGGTTATATAAATGGTGAAGAAGATGAACAGGCGTATAGCATCATCGGGTGAAAGAAGGGGTGATATAATGGAGAGGTTGTTGGGCGGGATAAGGAATGAGGACCTAGTCAAGAGACATTGAGGTACCGAGGCCATATATAAGTGACGCGCACCGGACATATTTTAGGCGAGATCGGGGATAAGAGCTGTAAAGAAAGTTTGACTTTTTCACTGTTGACCGGGTAACATTACTTACTTTGCAATGCATAAACTTGTTGTATATAATGCTTTAAGGGTTGTATCTCTTAAAATTCAGCATTTTGAGGATAATGCTTATTAAGGTATATATATATAGATATATATATATATATATATATATATATATATATATATATATATATATAAGACACGTAATTAAATTCCTCTTGTATTATTATAAGGCGTGAAATTGTTTCTTTCGGAAACCAACCGCAATGTGCTTGGCCATGCATATGCAACTCTTACTCTTAAAGCATGAACAATGCAACTTTACCACTTTAACACTTCTTCCGTTATCCTACCTATATATATCAAACAAACTCAATGAAGGTAACACATCGTATAATTAGCCCTCTGATATATAACACAAAACAATTCGAACCATGGCTCCATCAATGTCACTAGTCCACTCAGCAAACACACTCAACATCCTCGATTTCGTGGTCAACAAAGGCCATGGAGTCAAAGGTTTATCAGAATTAGGACTCAAAACCCTACCTCCCCAATACATTCAACCCCCACAAGAACGGTTTGATCATGCGAGCAATGAGGAAGAAAATAAAGACTCCATCCCGGTTATTGATATGTCAAACTGGGATGACCCAAATGTAGCTAAAGCAGTATGTGATGCTGCATGCAAATGGGGGTTCTTTCAGATTGTAAACCATGGAGTCCCTATTCATGTTCTTGAAGATGTCAAAGATGCAACTCATAAGTTTTATGCGTTGTCAGCAGAAGAAAAGAATAAGTATTCTAAAGAAAGATCGGTTTCAAATCATGTTCGTTTTGGTACGAGTTTTACTCCTGAAGCTGAGAAGGCTCTTGAGTGGAAGGATTATCTCAGCCTGTTTTTTGTCTCCGATGATGAGGCTGCTTCACTTTGGCCTCCTGTGTGCAGGTAAACAATGTGTTGTACTCGAGAAGAATTGCTTATGGACCGGTTTCAATTCGGTCATAAATTGACCCGTTTTTCGGTGGAAAAAAAAAAAAAAAAATCATTTAGGACAATACGTTCGTCTAGTCTTGTCTTTCTATTTCACTTTCTTCGTCAACAGTACTCTTTCATCCACCAACTCTAAAAGTCTAAAAGACTAGGTATTATTTTATTTTATTTTAATTCCAACCAAACAATAAAAAAATATTCGATTTTTCATTCCTATGAACCATTAAAAAACACCATCTATGTGGGATAGCTTCACAGTGAAAGACCAAAATACATGACAACTAAAACCACAACTGATATGTCACACACATGCATTCGAAAACTTCAAATTTTTGTCTCTTATAAATAGGAATCAAGCATTGGAATACATGAAGAGTTCCGAATTCATCGTCAAGAAGCTACTTGAGATACTAATGAAAGGACTAAACGTAAAAGAGATTGATGAATCCAAAGAAGCGATTTTAATGGGTTCAAAGCGGATTAACCTCAACTACTACCCCACATGCCCTACCCCCGAGCTCACAATCGGTGTGGGCCGTCATTCAGATGTATCCACACTGACTGTACTCCTTCAAGACGATATCGGAGGGCTTTACGTACGAAACACTGAGACATCAAAATGGGTTCATGTCCCTCCGGTTGCTGGATCTTTGGTGATCAACGTTGGAGATGCACTTCAAATTATGAGCAACGGGAAGTATAAAAGCATTGAACATCGTGTCATTGCTAATGGAACAAATAACAGGATTTCAGTCCCGATATTTGTGAACCCAAGGCCTAGTGATGTAATCGGACCATTGCCTGAAGTGGTTGGGAATGGAGAGAAAGTGCTTTATAAGGATATTTTGTACTCGGATTATGTCAAACATTTCTTCAGAAAAGCACACGATGGGAAGGCCACGGTTGAGTTCGCAATGATATAAGTTTAATTCAATGTTTTTGTGTAATACAAAAGCTTTTAAATTGTGGAGAAAAAGAATAAAAGAGTGTTTCATAAGCAATGTATGATGATCAAGCTTGTATAATCCCTTGATGCATGGTAGATGTTATTCTATGTGTTGCCTTTTGCCTTTTGAGTTTATATTTTATTTTTATACTAAATTACATATATCATCATTGTGCTTAGTGAACAGTTGTGGATGGAAGCCCAATTGTTTAATTGTACTTTTGCATTGGTCATACATAAATCACTCTTTTTGGTTTGTTGGTCTTTAGTAATCCTCAACCTAAAATCTATAAAAATTATAATTTTGCGCTTGTCTTCTTAATAAGGCTAAATTCACACGCAATTTAACCACGTCATAAAAAATTAAAATAAAAACAAAGTCAAAATAAAGAGATAATTCCCATGCTGCTAGATCCGATCCGAATCCAAAAAAACAAAAAAAATACATAGATCATTGACCAAATCCCGCTCTTGAATTTCACAACAAATTTGAAACGGGAGATCGACGATGATCAAGACACCAATGAATGCATTTAACATAATTTGATACTTATCCACCAATAAACAAAATTTTGATTTTGATTTATTTGAAACAATTGGGTTTGGAATTAGTTTTATTTAATTTCAGATTTAATATATGATCCGGTCAAAGTGTGTTTGAATTTTGGGTTTGTTGAAGAGAGGAAAATGAGGGATTAAAGAAATTTGAAAAAGACAATGGTAAAATGGTTTTTTTTTATGGTTTTAACCATTGAACCGTTACTTTTAATTAGTGCTAATGAACTGAATGTAATGTAACGTTTATGACAGTTCGACGAAAAGTTCATTTATATTTATTTATTTAATGAACAAATGAAATGGACAAGGTTTTTAGTTCCTTTAGTTAAACAATCACCAAAAATGATATTGTGTGTTAATCTACACTCGTGACTCTCTGTTTATGTTCGTTTAAATTTTAAAGTACATTGGTTCTTTAACATTTGTTTATATTTATTTAAACAAGAAAAACAACATAACTTTTTTTTTAGGGTAAATTACATCAATCGTCCCTCATGCAGGTGCCGAAAAGCACATTCAGTCCTTATTTTCAAAAATTAACTCGGACGGTCTCTTATTTGTTTTAAACTTACACGCATCATCCCTATTGACATGAAAAGACTAATTTACCCTTAGTTATATCCTTTTTCCTTTTTTTATTTATTTATCAGTTTAATTATATATAGATATATATATATATATATATATATATATATATATATATATATATATAATAATAATAAAATAAGGGTAAACAAATATCCCCCCCCCCCCCTCCCGTTCAGTCCCTATTTCTGCAACAAGACACCACCACCACCTATCACCGCCGACTCCTCCGGTGCCACCACATATCAGCGTCACAACCTCCGACACCACAACCTATCACCGCCAACACCTTCCCCTTCCCTTTCCCCAATTTTCTTCTACCTTCGTCTCCCTCTTCTCACCCATTCCCGTTAACCATCCAAAACCCCAAATCATGTACCAAATCAAACCCCAAACCACCATCCTTATCTTCGTTCTCTCCCTCTGCCTTAAGAACACCAACGACCATCGAAACTACCAATTTCAATCTATATGCTTCGTGGTGAAACCCAATAATCAAATCGATCTCTTATTTGTTTTAAACTTACACGCATCATCCCTATTGACATGAAAAGACTAATTTACCCTTAGTTATATCCTTTTTCCTTTTTTTATTTATTTATCAGTTTAAATTATATATATATATATATATATATATATATATATATATATATATATATATATATATATATATATAATAATAAAATAAGGGTAAACAAATATCCCCCCTCCCGTTCAATCCCTATTTCTGCAACAAGACACCACCACCACCTATCACCTACCTCACCGCCGACTCCTCCGGTGCCACCACATATCAGCGTCACAACCTCCGACACCACAACCTATCACCGCCAACACCTTCCCCTTCCCTTTCCCCAATTTTCTTCTACCTTCGTCTCCCTCTTCTCACCCATTCCCGTTAACCATCCAAAACCCCAAATCAGTGTACCAAATCAAACCCCAAACCACCATCCTTATCTTCGTTCTCTCCCTCTGCCTTAAGAACACCAACGACCATCGAAACTACCAATTTCAATCTATATGCTTCGTGGTGAAACCCAATAATCAAATCGATCTATCCACTGCTCTAATCGAAAGTTATTTCTTTGAACCATAACCATCACCATCGAAACAATAATTCAATCTTCGAAACCTTGAAATACTGACGAGATTTAATCAATACAAATGACACCCATAAGCAATCACAATCACAAGTTCACGACATCTCACTACATTCAAAGTCCCAACCTATCTTCATCTTCAAAATCGAAACAAGTAACCTGTAACATCCACAAAATTTGAGCCAATTTAAAACTTTTTAAAACGTTTCAAACCACATGATTAATACAAACTTGTTTTTCAAAATAGTATATTGTCAGAGTATCTCAGAATCAAATCATAAAAACATAAAATGTGAAAAGCGGTGCGATCACGCCTTTGCCTTCCCGCGATCATCAGAAGTACCTGAAACAATAATTGATAAAGGTAAGCTCGAAGGCTTAGTGAGTTACCCCCAAAATACCAACGCCATACAATCATAATCGTAACATATAAGCAAGCAGATACAGTATGCATAATGAGCCATCAGTCTGACTGGACCGACTCCCGGTCCTCAGTCTATCTGGACCGCTCTCCGAGCCCTCAGCACGTCTAGACCGCCCTCCTCGGGGCCTTCAGCCTATCCGTACCGCTCGCTGGGCCTTCGGCCTGACTAGATTTTCCCGGCCCGGGCCTATAGTCTACCCGGTCCACCCAGGGTGTCTTGGCCTACTACACACAGCAGGACCTGCCTCAACCCTTTCCCCAAGTCAACAAACATGTGCACATATATATAAACAAGTAAACATGCAGATGTAACAGATCACTAACATGGCAACCATCCCATAACCAGGATACCGATCTAACCGATCTCTAGCATAGCAACCATCCTAAACCAGGATGAATCCTAACATAGCAACCATCCTAAACCAGGATGAAATCTAGCATAGCAATCACATAGCAATCATCCTATACCAGGATGTAATCTAATATAGCAATAACATAACGACCATCCTAACCCAGGATATAAATCATAAAGGGCCGGCCTTGGCGCCGTAGACCCTATTGATATAGTGAGGATAACTCACCTCGTAACTGTCGTCTGAAACTAGAAGGCTCAACTCCCGGATCACCAACACGAACTCCACCACCTATAGTTACCACAAAACCTTTTTTCATAAATTTCCAAATTACCAAAATACCCTCAGAAGTTAACTGGTCAACTCCTGGTCAAAGTCAAAGTCCACAGTTAGAGTCAACAGTCCATGTTGACCCGACTCGTCGAGTGTAATTCACCGACTCGTCGAGTCCTTCCTGAACTCAAGAAGTCGTGAAATCCCTGGTTGGCTCGTCGAGTTCCCTACAACTCGCCGAGCCCACGCGTGTCCAAAGGTTCGAGAGAAACCCTAGCCGACTCGCCGAGTCATTCGACTGACTCGCCGAGTCATTCGACTGGCTCGCCGAGTCCAAGGCAATCTTCATCTGACTCGCCGAGTTGTTCATCCAACTCGTCGGGTACATGACTATCTTCATATGACTCGCTGAGTTGTTCATCCAACTCGTCGGGTACATGACTATCTTCATATGACTCGCCGAATCGACCTTGCGACTCGCCGAGTCTCTTCAGTCCTTCAACCATACATATGCTTTTTAAGCCATGCAAAGGTTCCAGATTACATATCCAACCTTCCAAGGCCTGCTTATCACGTAAAGTTGCAAACTTTACGTGCATGCAAAGCTCTAAGGCCCTTAAATGAGAAAACTAAGCTTGCAATGAAGTCTCACACTTGAGGGAAGGCTCATACTAGGCAAGGCTGATGACTTTATGGATCTAGGGGTCAAAGGGAGTCCAGATCTGAAGTTACAACTTCAGATCTTAGCTCAAGCATAAGAAGCCTTTCATAAAACTCATCCAAAAGAGGTTAAAAGAGAGATGAGCCAAAGAAGCAGTTTAATACCTTCCAGAGAGTGACAACTGAAGAATCTCTTAGCTCCCCACGAGTTCCTAGCCTTGATTTCCTTGCTTCCCCAAGTGTTTCCTTCTCCAAAATCCCTCCTCCAAGCTTGAACACACCAAAAGATCACACACACTCGAATTAGGGTTTAAGAGGGACAAGAAGCAGTAAAGGGGAGGCTGGGGGAGGCCAATGATCCTTTAAATAGGGTGCAATACCCCAAAATTTAGGGTTTCATCTGCCAACTCCTACTCGTCGAGTCCCTTTTTGGACTCGGCGAGTAGGTCACTAAAACACGCGAACCAACTCGTCGAGTAGACCTCGAAAACAAGAAAATTCTTATATTAATTTCATACCTGAGAATCGGGGCGTTACATAACCGATTGAAATCAAGTCCAAGACAAATCCATCGAAATAAAATCAAACCAAACCTGAAACGAACCTTAAAATCAAAATGAAAACCTACATCAGTTTCAATTTCTGGATTTGATGACGATGAAGAAGGAGGAAACTCAAAATCAAAATCGAAATCAAGTATTTCTCTCTCTTATCGTGCTACATCTCCATCTCACCCATTTCCTATTTTGCTTTCATCAAGTCTATCTCTCTCAACCTATTTCTCTCTCGGTATCGTGCTATGTCTCCATCTCACTTGACCTCTATCTCGATATCGTATCAAAACACACATGTGTGTGTGTTTTGGGTTACTCTTTTATCTCCGATCAGTAACAATAGCGTGAGGGTTTGGAAGTGAAGGGGTGGATGGGTTGGAAAAGATGAGAGCAGGTATCGAAAAAGAACGGGGAGAGAGAGTGAGAGATCGATCGGAGGAGGTAGTGGTATTTTCCACTATAACTGAGAGAGATAGAGATTACAAAGAGTTGTTTTTTTTATTTTCTTTGTTAATTGATAAAAAAATAATAAATAATATTAGAATAACTAAAAAATAAATATCCAAGGGCATTATCGTCATTTCAAATGAGGCACGGACTACATTCGCAAGAAAAAAGCATATCAGGGATGAAGTGTGCAAGTTTTAAGCAAACGAGTGACGGTCCGAGTTAATTTTTGAAAATAGGGACTGAACATGCTTTTTGGCATGTGCACGAGGGACGATTGGTGTAATTTACCCTTTATTTTAATATTGTTCTATGCAATAATCATTACTTGATTAATTTATTAAAATCTTATTGTGGTTTGGTGTATATTGTATGTTTTTTATTTTAACTTCTTTTTTTTCACTTAGTAAGTGCTTATGATATTTTTTTGTTACGATTTTCATCTATCTTAGACATGAAATGACTATATTACTTTAATCTATTTTTTTCTCAAAATATATATTGTTTATAATTTTAAAAAATAAGATGACCCACCCCACTAACCCCTGGTCCCCACAACTTCTAAAATCCTCAGAAATTCTCTTCCTTCCTTTCATTCAAGCCGCCCAGCCGTCGTCGATCTAACGAGCTCTGACCACCATCTTTGATGCCATTCTTCAAAAATTGATAGGATACAAATTTAAATTGACGGTTTCTAAGATCCAAATTTATTGTATACAAAATCCAAAAGTGATGGTTTCTAATATCCAAATTAATAGTAAAAATGAATTGGATTGCACAAATATCTATTTTCTTATTAAAACCAAATTCATCAAATTCAAAAGCATAAACATCCAACCTAGCTTCAAAAAATAATAAAACCCTAACATACATTAGATCAAACCCATAAGCAAAATCTTCCCAAAATCTGGATTTATGGTTGTTCCAACAAACGAGATATTTCAAGAAATTTGGTCCAAGTTCATGAAGAAAAGCACTAATAGTCCGGTAGAGACTTTGAGAGAAGGAATGATTTCGATAGTAAGATTAATCTTCATAACATTGTTTTGTAATAGGTTAATAATAAACAAATAATAAGTGCATTAAAAAAGAATTAGATAAAGGTAACATAACTTTTATTATGTTTGATAGGGATAAAAAAATATAACAAAAAATGCCTTATAAGACGGTCCGAATGAAAAAAAATGAACAAAATGCCCAATTGACCCTAAACCACTAAGAGGATTTGAGTAAGTTACTCTTATTACTTGTTTTCTTTGTTTTTTTTTTATAGCAAACCGGTGATAGTTATACATGTTGTCTTCCATTAGGTTTGAGGAATGGCGACGTGTGATTCTTTTTTTTTTACATATATTCATTTACATACAGCTCTTCACGACTTTTTTTTGTTCATTTGTATTCTTTTATGTCCATGTTATATGTTTGTTTATGCTCATGCGTTTATGTTCATTAACATTCGTTTAACATCTTAATGAACATAAACAAACGAACGTGAACAAAATAAATTTCTAATGAATGAACACGGACAAGAAAATTTGTTTGTTCCTTTATTCAGTTAAACTAAAACGAACGAAAATGAACAATCTCTTATTTGTATTCATACGGTTCGTTTATAGCACTACACTTATTTAAGAACCGTCAATGCAAAAGTACAAACTTATTGGACTGAATCCATAACTTTTCACTAAGCCCAAGGACCATTACTGTAATTTAGTTCACATTTCACAACATGATTATATTCTACTCCGAATGCGAAGCTCCTCTTTCAATTGATCCCTTAAAACTCTTCTTAGCAACTTATTAGATGCTGTCCGAGGAAACTCCGGAACAATCTTAACAAAACTCACCTGTTCATTAATTAACGAAATCATAAACACATAGTTAACTCTTTTAATAACCTTAAAAAAAAAAACAAGAGTGGATTAGAGGAAACCTTAAACAAGGGATTAAGGTTTCTTTGGATAGCCTTTGAGAATATCATCTTTAGATTCTCGGGTTCAGCAGTGAACCCCTTTTTTAGTACCACAAATACAGCCAAAAGTTCTGGACCACCAATTGCGGGTGAAGCACTGACTGCAGCCGTTTCCATGATGCTGACATCAGCATTGTCACAAACACGTTCGATTTCAATTGAACTTGTCTGCATACACAAAACCCATATTCATTTTCTTTTAATATAAAAAATAAAAATTTATTATGAACTACAATACCTTTATGCCACCAAGATTCATGGTATCATCAGCCCTCCCTTGTACAACAAAATAGCCTCCGATTGTTCTCTTGATTATGTCTCCATGTCTCCTCAGTTTCTATATAAACAAACAATCACATTATGTTATAAATTTTTTATTTTTAAAAATTATAAAGTTGTGATACCATTCCATTGTAAATTGGCATTCCTTTGAAGTAAATCTCTTCATTATCTGCATTAAGTAGTCTATCTGTTGCTCCCATGTAAAGAGAAAACAACCCAACTTCACCAACACATGCTTCATCATCTGGCTGTCATATATACATAAAACTCACCACAATCAATTAAATTAAAGAAAAAAAAAACATGATAAATAAAAAATATGTTGAATTGATAAATGATGTTGGTCTTTCCTTCTACTTTATACATAAAGGCCTTTTTTTGTCTATTTAAGTAAAATAGAAACATGGATATATAAGTGTATTAAGTCAAAAAGAAAGATTTTACATAGGGAACTCCATGTTCATCAAGAATGAGAAAGCCAGTTGTCATTGAAGCAGAGCTAAAAGCTCCAAAGGCTTGTGGCTGAAGAAGATTCCCTTGAATGTAAGAAGAAGCAAGCTCAGTGCCTCCACAACATTCAATGATAGGTTTGTAATAAGCCCTTGAAGAAAGCCAAAGATCATCATCAACATTTGAGGCTTCACCTGTAGATGCAAATAACCTGTTTGGAAATTATGTTGCAAAAACATCGTTAATGATAATTTTTTTTCTTTTTTTTAAATAAAGGAGGATTAATTAATTAATTACTTGATATTTGTCCAATCTAAACCTTCCATACATCTTGTACTTTTCCATGTCTTGACTATGCTTGGAACTGTGCCCAAAGTTGTCACTCCTGCATCCTGAAAGATTTTTTAAACCATGTTAAGTGATATATTGAAAAATTTAAAAGATTTTATGTTTTTTTTTTTTCAATCTTTTTGTAAAAGGTTATTCTTCCAGCAACCCCACCACCAAAAAAGCACAAACTAATATTGGTGGATTTTCATATACAACCCCAAACTTCACAGTTTTCTATTTTATTTTGTTAGCTTGTTTTTATATTTAAAAGGAAGGGATAATCTCAAAAAAGACCTTGTATTTTGTGTTTTTTCCGTATTAAACCTCAAATTTATTTTTTTCCTGAAAAAAACCTTGTATTTTTTCATTTTTTCCGATTTGGCCCTTTTAGTCATTTTTTCCAAAAACAATTGTAAAATGTGAGGGTTTTTTTCATGAAAAACTAAAAAAGTTGAGGGTTTATTAGGAAGCATTTAGAAGGTTAAGGATTTTTTTCGGAAAAAAAATACAAAGTTGAGGGCTTTTTCAGAAAAAATATAAGGTCTATTTTAGGCGAAAAATAAATTTGAGGTTTAATCCAGAAAAAACACAAAATATAAGGTATTTTTTGAGATTAACCCTAAAAGGAATAGTTTAATTTCTTCTATACTTTAAATAATCTTTTATTGTCTTAAATACAATAAAAAAAATTATTATAGATAATGATTTCCAATAAAATGTTGGGTTGTGTTGCTAATAATCACAAAAAAGTCAATTCATATTAAAATTGAAACTCTCACACTTTAATATTTGTGCAAGTATACCATCCTAGAACCAACTATGCCACACCCTAGGGGCAATTTGGTCAATCTTTAATACTTATAAAAAAAGTTGGGAAAACCTCATAAAAACCCAAAGTATTTTCATCAAATGTTAAAAAAACCACTATATTATTTTTTAGTACACTAAAATCCTTATATTTTCTGAAATTCTTATTTAAGGTTTTTAAATCTCAGAAAAACCTAATCTATTTTCATGAAATGATTAAAAAAACCATTATATAATTTTTTGTAGTGCATTTAAACCCTCATATTTTTTTGAAATTTTTTAATCTATTGAGTTGTAACAATCAAAACGTTGTGAATCGTTTACATAATATTTTTAACTATCTAGGATTTACCGAGCCCAACGCCTTAAATGATAAATTTGAAAACTTATAAGGGTTTTAACATTTTAAAAAAATATAAGGGTTTTAATGTACAAAAAAATTATATAGTGGTTTTTTAAGATTTTCATGAAAATATGTTGGGTTTTAATAAGGTTTTCCCAAAAAAGTTTGAAGAAGTAACCTGAATAAATTTTCCAAAACCATGACCAAGTGGGGAGCCATGATAAAGAGCTAGTGTAGCGCCACATAGGAAAGATGAATAGAGTAAAATGGGCCCCATCACCCATCCCAAATTTGTGGGCCAACAAAACACATCTCCAGGCTGAATGTTCATGTGGGCCCACGAATCACCAGCACATCGAATGGGAGCAATTTGAGTCCATGGTATAGCTTTTGGATCTCCTTAAAAAGAGAAAAAAGAAAACTTATAAGTTAATTAATAAAGAAAAGTATACTTTTAGAGGCTTAAGAGATTGTAGATAATGTCTTTCAACCTGTTGTTCCTGAAGAGAAGAGTATGTTTGTCATTGTGTCTATTGACTGATAGACTGGAGGGCAATAATCCGGGCTGAAATTTAATAAATTGAAAATCATTAAATCAATATTTTCCATTTTTCTTCACATAAAATGTTACTTGCATATATACATAGCAATTGTTACTAGAATAATTGGGTAGACTATTAAAGATATAATGTACTAAGAAACAAACTGAAAGTACAATGATTTACGAGAGAGAAATTAAAGTAGGATGCTTAATACACAAATAGGTGAGACTATGTTGCTACTTAATGCATTTAGCCCCATAAAAAATAACATGTAGATTGGAAGAGAAGGATCTTATTAGAATGGGGTATAAACAAGGTTATTATGGTAATTTGTACCTTGGAAGGTGTCTTGCAATTGAAAGAAAATCCTGCCATGAAATATCTTGTTTTCTTAGTTGAATGTCAAGATTCTCTCCAATTGCAGGAATCACAATCACTCTACATTCAGTGGCTTCAACAACACGGCTGCAAAAAAGAAAGAAATCATGATGACAGTTGGTTTCAGAGTGGTATACTTTGTAGAAAAAGTCAAGGGTTTGACTTTTGAATCTCAATAGTTGCAGTGTGAATGTGTGATCCTATTTGTAGTTATTACCTGTACAAAGGAAATCTTCGACCACCTCTAACAATGTAATCCTGAGTAAAGATAGCCTTTGATTTAGAGACGCGTAATCTTGTTGCAATTTCCTTTGATGCAAAGCTATCAGCTATGGATACAACCACAAATCCAGAGTATATGATTGCCAAGTATAAAACAACTGCAGTTACTGTCATTGGCATGTCAATTGCAATCGGATCCCCAATTGAAAACAACCCCTTTAATGAATTTGCAACCAACCTATACAAAAAAATTAGTTACATAGATACAAGATTCATAAAGAAGTATAAAATTAATGGCGAATTGTATATGGAAATCATACATTACTTGGTGTCGCAGTTCGTTCAGTGTCATCTTGTTTACTTCAAAATTATCAAATCGTTCATCCCTCCATACGATTGCAACCTTTTCGTTCTCGTCATCTTGTTTGGTAGTTGATTTTAAGCAACATTCGGCGATGTTCAAAACTGAATCAGGAAACCATGAGCCGCTATGTTTTGATTTGTTAGAGGTATCCAATATACACTTTGGAGGTTGATGAAATCGTATTGAAAGCTCTTCCAAAACAATCGACCAGTATGCCTGAAACCAAAACATCACAAAGTTCATTAAACATTAGATATGTTGATCCAAAAGAGGCCTTGAGGAAATACGACTGTAAGAACAAGAACTTGCCTCGGGATGATGAACGGAGAATTTCTGAAATTGTTTAAAGCTTGAGATAGGATCCTTGTAAGCTGCTCCTAGAAGCTTTGAGCCATGAGTTTCCATAAGTCGCCCCAAGTTCGTCCGTTTAGCATCAACACTAATTTACAAACAGAAACGCAAATTCATTACACTAAGATCAAATGATGAAAGTTCAAATGATGATAGTTCAGTTGATCAGTTCATAATTAGCTAAACACTAGTTATGATTCGGATTTTATAATTGTAGTATAAGAACACCAGAAGAAAATCCCTAAAGCAGAAGCAACATTATAACTTACTCGGAAGGGAACCAATACAGAGGAGGGCCATGGATGGAGGCATCGTAATCAGCATAAACGGCGTTGTAGATGAGACGATGCAGAGAATGAGGGAAAGATGGTTTGAGCAACCTTCGAGAAGTAATGTCGCGCCATAACTCAACTGGGCTGGAGCTAGTGGTGTGATCAATGGCTTCTTTGAGCTCGATTTGCAGCGATTTCGCATCATGTACTGATAATCCAGTGTTCAGCAGTTCTTGGAGCCCCAATTCGTGGATACGTTTAGCTTTATCCATCTGAATTTCCATTTTCTATGATGTCCAAACACGAAGGGCTTAAAATAAGGAAATAGGGGTAGGTGATTCATGCTGTGATTGAGAATGAGTAGCGTGTGTAGGTGAAAAACGAAGCAATTAATGGGCGCTCAGTACTTCTCATACATTCAATCATGTCATCATGTGATGGTTACTATGTTTGGAAAGCCAGGTTCTATCGGTAATACCCTATGAGCCTCCTGATTTGATCGTTCGTTGTTTTTTTAGAAAATTACAGATCTAATATAATATTTTAATGATTTTTTAAAAAATAACCAAAGAATTCTGTGTTTTCGAAAATAGTCATTGAAATAGTAGGTAGATAGCTAGTTTTTATTCTTCATTGTTTTTTTAGAATAGTCATTGAAATCATAGATAGCTAGGTTTTATAATTCATTGTTTTCTTAGAAAATTACAGACTTAATATAATATTTTAATGATTTTTTTAAAAATAACCAATGAATTTTGTCTTTTTCAAAAATAGTCATTGAAATCGTAGATAGCTAGGTTTACATGTGATTTCGTACTGTTTGTTTAACTGTGATTCCCTCTTCTTGGGATGCGATTTTACTCCAATTTTGACTTACGACTGGAAAATAAAGTATAGCCGTGTAAAAGTTTTTTTTTCTTTTTTTTTTATAGATTTTTGACAAATCTTTAAAAATGGTCCCTATAAAGTATAGCCGTGTAAAAGTTTTTTTTTCTTTTTTTTTTTTATAGATTTTTGACAAATCTTTAAAAATGGTCCCTATGGTTTCCAAAAAAATCGAGTTTAATCATTAACTTTTTAGCTCATCAACGTTGGTCCATATGGTTTCAAAACTTTTAATGGATGGTCCTTCCGTCAGTTCTTTGCTTTTAAGTCTAACTTCTTTTCTTTTAAGTCTAACTGATGTGAGGGTAAAATGGTCCTTCTGTCAGTTCTTTGTTGTTAAGTCTAACTGTTGCACTAATCTCTCCATGCCACTAAGCATTAAACACTAATAGTATATGTATCACATGTACACACCTTAGGCAATTGAACCTAATAGTGTAATAGTAGCACTCAACATCTCAAGATTCATATTGTTATGTGCATATTTGTTACTTCACACACATATATCCAAAAAGTGTCTAAAATTTTGAAAATCTTCCGAATTTAAAAAGCATGCACTTCCTAAGCCATTTTATAATGTAATATACAAGAAAAACCGATACTTATACATGAAATATATATAATTCCTACATAATATATGAACTAAAAACACACATGACTATTTGGTTTCCTAAATGCTCAATTTTTACTTTGCAAATCGTTGAGTCCATTCTGCAGCTAATGCATCATGTTTACTTCTGTCTACCAAGTACAAATGAGCAATTCCTGGAACTTGAGGTTTATCTGCAACAATTGAAAAACAAAATTATCAACTTTATCCAAATTTCAGATTTTTAAAGATGCTAAAAGATTATAATATAAAAATTCAGATAGGGAATTTTAGGATTAAACTATAACAAAAGGAATGAAATACATACAAGGGTTAGGGTTGTTGAAGATTGATCTCAAAGCAAGTAGAACTTTTGAAATTGTTAAAGCTGGACTCCAACTGTTTTCTTCCAAGATATCCAAGCTAACATTGCCTGTTGAATCTACATTGCAATGATATATTCGTGTTTTGAAAACAACCTGCACCCTAATACCACAAATCAATAAAGTGCCAAAAAAAGATTAAAAAAGAATGATATTGGGATTTTTGATAGGTGATATGCAAGTAGATTGGCATTTATAACAGAATCTTTTGTATGAAAGTTCCTAGGTCAAGAAAGTATATTCAGCATAGATATGGACATACCTTTGGAGGCTTAAAAGGATAATTAGCAGGAAATGTTATGTCAAGAAAGTATATGCCTCCATCATAAGGCGTTCCTACAAGAAATTAAAAAAGAACAACAAACAAACAAAATCAAGATAAAGTTCCAAGACATTTGAAGTTGTTCTCTTATGCATTTGATCGAACACCTTTCCCTCATCACATGTTAAATCGTTAGCAGGTTTCTTTAAGGCTTTAGACCATGGCTGAACACAATTATAGGGTTCATGACTCCCTTATTCAGAGGGATTCGTCTACCATATAGGCTAATTACTGGGTTAAAATCAAATGAAGCAAAAGCTAATGAACATACGAATTTCTTCTCTAAAGCGTTTGATCGAACATCTTTTCCTAATTCCACACAAAATCGTTGGTAGGTTTCTTTAAGGCTTTAGAAATTAGGTAAACACCATTACAGAGTTCATAAATCCCTTATTCATAAGGATGCATCTACCGTAGAAGCTATTAACTGGGTTCAATCAAATCAATTGAACGCCCGAATCAAGAAATTAGAACAAAAAGGTAAGAGATTTAACAAAAACACTCAAACACACGGTAAGAGTTGAGTTGAGGAGGGTTGACCTTGGGGACCGAAGAGAGTAGCGACCCAGTGATAGAGGTTATCGCCTTTGGGGCCAGCGGAACAATCGGCAGGTGGGTCCGTGTTGAGTTCTGCCATTTCCTTCTGTATTCTCTTCCCCGACGATGTTAAAGATGTCCGTGATGGCCATGATCGTCCACCAGTCAAGCTCCCACTGTTCATCATCCACCTCCCTTCTTTACCAACACAGATACCCAAGTATCTGACTTGTTTGACCGCGTCTTCTACAACCCCAATTTATCTCATTTTAGTTCTAGTAAATTTATAGTCTAACAAATATTTGGTAGAAAAATTATGATAAGTTTAATAAAGTTATAGTCCTACACAAGCTACGTTGTAATGATTTTTAACATTTAAATATGGGATAATGACTTAAAAGGGTAATATATTTTTTGATTTGTACATATTTGGTCACTGAGTTTTTTTTTCGTCCACATTTACCCCTTCAACTTGTTAAACTGTATACATTCAGTCCTTATGACCGGCTACTCCAGGTTACCCAGTAAAAATGACTTAATAGGGTAATATATTTCTTACTTTGTACACATTTAGTCCTTAATATTTTTGTACATTTAGTCCTTTTTTTTTGCAAAATAAGTCATTTTTTTTTACTCATTCAATACTTAGGGAGGAGGGAGTCATTCCCTCCCAACCCACTGAACCCACTGCCACATCATTTTTTCTCTTTTATTTTTCTTCATCTTTCCAAACCCACAACACAGGAAAATCCTATCTTTTTGAACCCACTCAACCCACTCAATTAAAAAAAATACAAAACAATCAAATGTAAAATCTTAATAAGCAATAGAGTTATCGGTGGTACCACTCCCGCTTCAACGAGTGGGTTGATTGGTTTCACTAACCCACTTCATCATCTCTCTCTACTTTATCTTTCTTATTTTCTCTTGTACCATGTGTTTTAAAACTTGTACCTTAGTTGTTTTGTATTTTTTTTAATTGAGTGGGTTGAGTGGGTTCAAAAAGATAGGATTCCGTATGTTGTGGGTTCGAAAAGATGAAGAAAAATAAAAGAGAAAAATTGATACGGCAGTGGGTTCGGTGGGTTGGAAGGGAACGACTCCCTCCTCCCTTATGAATGATTTTTTAGTTTTTTCTCACGAAATTTTACGTGGGATATTCATTAATGAGGTGTATGGGGCTTTTGATGCTTATATCCATCGCGATCTCGACTACTTCGTTGCGTAGGTCATGTGTTCTGAACGTCATAACTTCTTCATATGATCTCGGATTTTAACGATCTTTATATTCATGCGTTCGTATTTTAGTCTACTACAACTTTCATTTAGATTACTCCCATTAAAAAATAATATATTTTTACTTACGATTTTTATATCCATACGCGGTGGCGGATTTAGTATGGTCTCGGTGTTGCACCGACAACACCTGTTTTTTCTATTAGCAGTGGAAAAATTTTTGCTTTTTTTTTTACGTTTATACCTATTTTCATGTATCGGCAACACCTACTATGTATTATTGCGTCTTCCCTTGTCCATACGTTTTTTATGAATGCATGTATGTATGTTTTTTTTATAAAATCGTTAGTAAAAATATATTACATTTTAACGGGAGTAATCTTAAAGAAAGTTGTAGTAGACTCAAAAAATGAACACATGGATAAAGATCCTTAAAATCTGATATCGTATGAAGAAGTTACGATATTCAAAATACAAGACCTAAGCCAAACCACAAGACTTACGCAGCCAAGCAGTCGAGATCGCATTGGACATAAGCATCAACAACCCCAAACACCTCATCAATGATTGTCTCACGTAAGATGTCGTGAAAAAAACCTAAAGAAATCATTCATAAGTACTGAATGAGTACAAAAAAAGGACTTATTTTGAACAAAAAAAATGTTAAGGACTAAATATGTACAAAAATATTAAGGACTAAATGTGTACAAAATGAAAAATATATTACCCTATCAAGTCATTTTTGCCGGCTAACCTGGAGTAACAGGTCATAAGGACTGAATGTGTACAGTTTAACAAATTTAAGGGGTAAATGTGGACGAAAAAAAACTCAGTGACCAAATGTGTACAAATCGAATAATATGTTACCCTTTTAAGTCATTATCCCTTTAAATATCTAAAACTTAGTTTACTAGTACATAAAATTGTAAACTTTGACTTGAAACTTTAGCTAGCTCCGCATAGTTGTCCAACATGTTTTTGCACCCAAGGTGATGCGTTAGGAAACAACCCGAAAGTCTAACCGAAATGGAATTTGAGAATGTGTTTTGTAGTTTATTTGTTGAATGCATAATCCAAGATAGATTTATGCATAAACATATGAAGAACCCTAAAGAAAACACTTACATGGGAAAAATGATAACTTTAATAATGTTGAAGATGACATCTCATGTTATATGATTCTTTCATTTCCTTTATGTGATGGTGTCATAGTTATCAATTCTTATGGATGAAATTTGTAACATCTCGACTCTCAGGTATTATATTTATATATTTATTTTGAGATTTAATGAGTGACTCGACGAGTTATGTGTCCGACTCGTCGAGTAGAGATGGATTGGTCACGTGGGTTTAATGACCGACTCGCCGAGTTGACGTTGTGTGGGGAAACCCTAAATCCCCGGGTTTGTGACCTATTTAAGGGGTCTTAA